TTAGTAGAAAAGTTTCGATAGCTCCCAGCTGATGGCTCAAGAGCCCTGGGGATCCAGGGGTTGTACAAGTGTCCTGAAATCCAGATGCATATCCAACATTATCCATTTCCAGAACAAACTAATCTATCACACACACACACATGTCCCACCATGAGGTAAACACGCAGAGATGTCATTCAACGAGATTAATGAACACAAAGTCATTCAGAAGTCCCCCTGAATTGGGGGCCACGTGCCACCATTGTGTTCATTCAGTGAACTTTCAATGAGTTCAAGTATTTTACATTAGGTCCACAGAAGTGCTGACGGTCCCAAAGGGTCCTGTTGGTGAAGGTGAAAGAAAATCGGAGGAGAGCATAAGAGACTTGCAGAGTCACAGCTGTTTCCATGTCACCCTGGAGGCCACCAGTTGTCTGCTCCAGAGCACCTCCTTTCCCTTCACTTTTCCTTTTTAGCTCCTTTTCCCTAAGGGGAAGCAAACTGCTGACTCTGTTGGTGATTCTTCTTCCACATTTGGATCAACAAACCTGAACTGTGTCACTACCTCCAGGAAATGAAAGATTCAACTCCCCAAGCAAAGATATTCTTGAAATGTGTGAGTGAAACAACTCAATGATGGCGATTCCCTCTTCACCCCAAGAGGACCCTGAGAGTCATGCAGCTAAATCCATATTCACTAATTGCTTCATTCTTTTTTTCTTTTTTGAGGGGTACTGGGGCACTCAGGGGCACTCGGCCACTGAGCCACACCCCCAGCCCTATTTTGTATTTTATTTAGAGACAGGGTCTCACCGAGTTGCTTAGCGCCTTGCTGTTGCTAAGGCTGGCTTTGAACTCATGATCCTCCTGCCTCAGTCTGCCAAGCCGCTGGGATTACAGGCTGTGCTTCTGTGCCTGACAAGCTTCATCCTTACTAACAACTCCTGTAGTTAAAAATAATCTGTATGAAGAGAGCAAACCAATAACTTGAAAAATAAAACAGATTTCCCATTTGCCATAAAAATATTTCACATTTTATTAAAAAAAAAAAAGGTCTTATGAAGGTCACGGATGACTCCCCATCTGTCAAAGCCAATGATTTATTCTTTGTTCTTCCCGCACTTGACCTCTGAGGACACAGTACAAGCCTTGGTGTGTGGAGGGAGACCCCGTGACACCACAGCCTGTTTTACTTCTCATTCAACTTCCCTAAGCACCCCAAGCTCACTGGCTAAACAACCTCCCCCTCCTCCCCCTCCCCCTCCCCCTCTTCCCCCTCTGGCAGTATTAAACTGGAAATGCCTCTAGCCCATTCACAGAGCCTACAAGCATCTTCCTATCTCTGACCCCGCCTCCTTCTCTCCAGGCAGCCCCAGGCTCACTCCAGGGTGTCCTGTCTCAGGGACTCTGCACCTGCTGATTCTTCCATGTGGAAGCTCTCCTCCCAGATCTGCAGCAGGCACCGCATCTGATGCATCCGTTACTCTTTTCACGTGTGTTTTCCTGTGTGGCATCTTCCCACAACCCCCACTTCCCAAGGGAATAGGACAGAAATTCTTGTGGATGTTATTTGAAGCATCTCCCCAGATCCTGGGCAGGACTTGATTTTTTCTTGATTCCTAGTAGCATCTTAGGATATATTTTTCAACGGATCCATATCTGATCTACATCTGCAAAGTGTGAGGATTCTATAATCCAAGATTGTCAAAGCTGGAATAGAAACCGCCCGACCTCATTGTTTCACAGATGGGAAAAACAGGCACAGGGTCACGTGCCCAGCTGCACTGATGCGGATTTACCCAAGCAGGTCAGCCGTGCGTGATACTTAGCCTGGCCCCTTTCTGCGCCCCTGTCAACTGTCACAACCACAAAGGCAAGGGTTATTTGCTTCTGAATCTCCCTGCCAAGTTATCTTGAACACAGATCTCAGAACACATTTTGCTGCCCATCTATAAAACATCTTTATTAGCACAAAACCAGTTCATATAACTTCTTCTGTAATATCCGTGCAGGCCCAGTTCTGTGTCCTTTAGGAGATCTATTACCTCGCAGGAAGGTTCTGCTCAGGAAAATATAACCTTCAACAGGCAGGACGGATCCACTAACTCGGGCATCAAGGCGATTTGCACCATCTCTAAGTGAAAATCAGCCATTACTTGAGAGTCTTTAACTCTCTTTGAACAATAAACAAGTGGAGTCTCAGTCAGTTTAGCCAGTTTATTTATCTTGAATACTATTACTTTTGCCAGAAAATCATTTCTAACACCTGACGGGTTTTATTAATAAATAGAGAATTTCATCAATGCATCCACGATGCTAATAAGTGAAGCCTTGGGGTGGATTGAGATATGGAAAATTGTCCCCCCACCCCACCCCGCACTGGGGATTGAACTCAGGGCACTTAATCACTGAACAACACCTCCAGACTTTTTTTTTTTTTTTTTTGTATTTTGTTTAGAGATAGGGTCTCACTAAATTGCTGAGGCTGGCTTTAAACTCATGGTCCTCCTGCCTCAGCCTCCCGAGCTGCTGGGATTACAGGTGTGCGCCACCAGCCCAGCTGCCCCTCTCTTCTTAACTCTCAGATTCATTGACTTCAAGTTGGTAACTTGAAGTTAGACGTGGTAGAAATCTTTACACTATGGAAATTAATAACTGCCTCCCCCCGCCCCCAGTTAGCTCTTAAACATTTTCCAGGGTACCAGAGGACAGCTAAGTGACCTCTGGATTGTGGCTTTCTGATAAAATGTTAGCTGACCTCCTCCCCCTCACAACTAACTACTGCTATAACCAGTCAATCTTGGCTGTAGGTTAGAAATTACCTGGGGAGCTCTAGATTAATACTGATTCCCAGGTCCCCATTGGTGAGGTTCTAACTTGACTGGGATGAAAGTTTTGGATATCAGGGGACATTTAAGTTCACCAGATGATTTTAATCTGCAGCCAGGGTGGCATTCATGCCTGTATGTCACACTATGCCACACATTCTGACAGTGCCACAGAAAGGTAATAGCCAAACCAGGATGAGCATGGGCCTGCTGGCCGGCCCCTCAACCCAGGGCTTCTGGGCAAAGGAGGGAGGAGTGGAAAAGAGTTCGCCATTTCTTCTGAGGGCTGTTGGCAAATGGGTCAGAGAAGACCTAGCGTCTGGCATTGCAGGTTTGGAGTGGACAGGGACAACAAAGCAGCCCTGTGCCCGTTCAGAGAGCCCCAGGTTCCCTCTCCAGGGACATCTCACCCTCATTCCTCGGGGCATCTCATGGGGAGGGAGAGCTGAAAGGGCCTCATCAGAAGCTGTGTGTCACCGGGCAATATTTGAAAGACAAAAGGAAGGAAAATTCAGAGCAGAGAGGAGCAGGGGTAGCTGGGGCTGCAGCTTCATCCCAGGCCTGGGGAAGGAGGTCAGGAGGCTGGCCTCTAGGAGGCCAGGTGCTAAGCTAGCCGTCTATGGGATGGAGAAGGCTACAAACTTCTAGGGGCAGGGACAGAGACCAGTGCCTCAACAGTGTCTAACTCTGCAGGGCCAGGGAGGCTGTAGCCCCTGGAGAGAAACAATCTTTCTGGCTCTTGGCTGTTCATTTTAAGGTAACTGGCATGGGCCCCTGGCTCCACTTCTCTGCCCCAGCAAACACCCTGGCAGGGCCCCTTTCCTACCAGGAAGCTGGTTTCTTTTCACCCTTCCAGGAAGGACATTGCCTGCTTCACACCCCCACCCTGACTTTCTTCCTGCTAGGACAGAGACTGAGGGCTAGGACCAGCCTGGCCTCTGTGTTCAGTTCTGTTGGTGGGTGTGCGCAGAGGGTGTGGGAGAACCAGAACAGGGCCCTTGGAGAGGGTGCCATTCCTAGAACCACCACTAGGGACCCCACCCAGCCCTGCTGGAGCTCATGACCTTTGGGCCAGCGTTTAATTACTGAATGCCACAACCACAGATGGCCTGGCTCCCAAGCCCTAGGCTGAGCTGGGCCTGGCAGTCAGGAAAACAGCAGTTGAGTAAAGCTGGGGCCATCCTGCGTGGAAGACAGACTCAATGGCACTTCTGATCCCTGGGGGAGAAAAGGCCTAGTGGGGGAGGCAGGGTCAGAACAGGCTGAGAGTGCAATGAGAGAGCTGCCTCCCCACCCACCCCACAGCCTTGAGCCTGGGTCTGCCTAGAGGAGGGTTTCCAGAAGGAAGAAGCCTTGGGGGCAGGGCTGGGACATCACCAGGCGCCCAAAAGGGGAATTTCCATGGTCAGTTGGGGAAAGGCCAGGAGCAGATCTGTTCCAGGAGACTGCAGCTCTACGGGGGTCCCTGAGCCCCATCCTGGACTGCTCCCCTTCCTTACTCCATTCACCTCTAGGACAAGCATTTGCACTCCCTCTCTCTCCCCCCATCCATACTGGGATTGAATCCAGGGGTGCTGTACCACTGAGCTACACCCCCGCGCCCGTCCTTTTTATTTTGAGACAGGGTCTCATGAAATTGCTCAGACTGGCCTTGAATTTGTGATCTTCCTGCCTCAGCCTCCCTAGTTGGTATTACAAGCGTGTGCCACTGAGCCTGGCCTATTTGCACGTTTAGCACCTTGGAAAGTAATTCCTGCCCTTTCAATTCACTTCTCCCCAACCCCCCATCCCCGTGCGTGTGTGTGTGTGTGTGTGTGTGTGTGTGTGTGTGTGTGTGTTGGGGGGGGTTAGAGATCAAACTCCCAGCCTTCGGCTGCACACAAAGCTATGCACCCCGCCTCCGAATGCGTGTTTTCCAAGCCCCGGGTGAAGCAAGCTCGCGCTCTCTCTAGCGCGCTTCTAGTTCACTCTCTCCCACGCCCCATTCTACGCTTGGAAAATAGGCACTGCCAGAGCTGAATGCCCGCTCAATTGCAAACCCGGCCCCCTCCTCTTGCTCGGTCTACCCCAATCTCGAGCCGCAGCCCCGCCCCCGGCCCGTCACCTCCCAGAGGCTGGGCCGCCGCCTCTCTCCCATTGGCCGCCGGGGCCGCTGGCTCCCCGGCGGGGGCAGTGATTGCGGCGCGCCCCTGTCAGTCCGGAAGAGAGCGCTGGTAACTGGGCGGGCCGCCGGGTAGCCGCAGGTGGAGCCTGGAGCAGTGGCCAAGGAACGGAGCCCGAACCCTGAGTCCCCGAAGCTCCGAATCCCCGAAGCCCTGCACGGGGACCCGCCAGGATGCCCCGCGGGGACTCGGAGCAGGTGCGCTACTGCGCGCGCTTCTCCTATCTCTGGCTCAAGTTCTCGCTCACCATCTACTCGACGGTGTTCTGGGTGAGTGCTCCCAGTGGGGTCCGGGCGGAGCGGGGTGGGGGTCCGCACTCCCTCGACAGCTCCCACGCGGGGCCGGGAGTTGTTTCCAGATTCAGCTGCTCCCAGGAGAGCGCGGGGAGCGCCTTCTGGCTTCTCGCCAGACTCTCCCTGGAACCGGGAAATTCTGCCCGCTCCAGTTCAGCCCTAATTTCAGCTGCTTCAACTGGAATATTAGAGCCAGTTTGCCGACCAAGAGCAACTGTTACCTGAATGGTGGCTGAGTCTGCCACCCGAGCCCTCTGCGCATCAGCTGGCAGGCTGGTAGGCGGTGGTTACGTTGTTGGCCGCGCCCACCACGCCTGTAGGGTGTTAGAGTTTGCCTCCCGATCAGCGGGTGAAGAAGTGGTTAGTCTTTGTGATTGGAGTCACTTGGATTCCGGGTCTGGTCCCCGCAATTACTTGCCTGTACCCCAGGTCAAGGCACTTCCCCCTCTGCATCTTGGTGGCTTCTTGGGTGGAAGGAGGATGCACGTGCTTCCGCCCGGAGTGGAGGATTACAGTGGACGAGGTCTCTTTGGCTCCCACATGCTCAGTTACTGTTTCCACTGTCACTGGGCTTTCCCTCCTCTGCTGAGGAGGGAAATGAGGAGCAGAATGGCAGTAGTTGGACACGAACTAGGCTTTGAATCTTGTCGCTATCACTTTCTAGCTGAGTGATCTTGGGGAAGTTACTCTGGGCCACAGTTTCCTCATCTGCAGATGGAGGCAGTAATTATTTTCACCTTTTAGGATGCAGGTGGAGATTAAATGAGATGTCAGTACTTAGCATGGAGATCAGTGCAGAGTTCAAGAAGCAGGAGCCATTATTCTGGGCAGGGAATCTGGACATACAGTGGGGTAAGCTCCCTAAGAGCCTGGTTTTTATAAGGGCATTTTCAGACGACCTGGGCCTTAGTGAAGAAATCAGGATACTTTTCTACAGGCTGGCCCTACCCCTGCCCCTCTAGAATAGCTCCCCTGACTCTGCTCTGCCACAAGGGCAGACACCCTGTGCCCCTCTGAAACACTCTCTCCTGGTTTCACCCCCAGCCTCTCACTGAACCTTTTCTGCTGACAGACGCTGTTGAATTTGCTATCAGGACTTTTGATGGGACTCCTTTGTGGGTGGGAACCCACATCATGATTCTAGTCCTACTCTATAACTGACCTACTGGGATATCTTAGGCAAATCCCTCCTCTGTTTTGGGTCTCAAAACTGTTCATTAATTTTTCCATGTAGAAAATTCTAGCCTCAGGCCAGCTTCCAGTCCAATTTCCTGGCTCTAGGTACAGTGACAGAGAGATGCATAGTATGTTTTGGGGCTAAAGGATAGGGCAAGGACCAGGGCAGAGGCTACAGAGAAGCAGTTGTGGGGTTGGGATGGGTGATTTGAGCTGTAATTCAGTGGCTCTCAGCCAATGTTGCATCAGAACCAACCAGAGTTTGTTTTTGCAGTGTGGGACAGAACCCAGGGCTGTGCACATGCTAGGCAAGTGCTCTACCACTGAGCAACACCCCCAGCTCTCAACTAAGGCATTTTTAAAAACACTACAGATTCCTGAGCCCTGGCAAAGGTGTTTATTTAAATTTACTTAGGCTCCCGGTAATTTTAGTAGGCAGTCCAGATTAAAAACTGCTGCATTAGGGGCTGGGGTTGTGGCTCAGTGGTAGAGCACTTGCCTATCATGTGGGAGGCACTGGTTTCGATTCCCAGCACCGCATAAAAATAAATGAGCAAATAAAATAAAGGTATTGTGTCTATCTACAACTAAAATGTAAAACACACATACAAAACTGCTGCATTAGATGGTCTTATGTGTCCTGTAAGTCCCCAGGGATTCTTTGCCCACCCTTGTCTAACTTAGAAATCTTCTTTCTTTCTGCAGTTGAAAGCAAAGGCCAAGGCTGATGGAGAGGATTTACTCCTTCTCCTGGCCGTCTCTTCACCTCCCCATGCCTCTGTTTTCTCATCTGTGGAATGGATAAGTGATCCCCTGCCTTGCACCCCACTGGATTAATAATGTAGTGAGAGAAAAGTACTATACAAGGGCAAATTATGCAATCGCAAATTTCAAGGACTTGTTCTGTCATTGTCCTTTGCAGCCCCCAGAGAAGGCCACCCCTTGGCCCTTGCTTTGCTTTGCTTGAGGCCAGGCAGAACTCAGAACTTGGAAGCCTACTTCTGGCCACCTGAGGTTGCTTTACTGCTGTCCCTGGAAGTATTTCTGCTTAATAATCTTACCACCGTTGCCAAGAACTCAGACACCTGCTGGCTCTGCCCGGGCAGCTCCAGGTGCCAGAGTTTGACTGCAGGGCAGAGACTCAGGATCTGAGTTAAGTAATTTGTCCTGGACGAGTCTGCTGTTAATTGGAAACCATTTGCAGGAAAGCCCATTATCTTGGTTCCATCCCTCTGCGAGAGGAGGGTGGGGCAAGGGTTATTTGCTTTATAAGCCCAGAGTGCTAACGCTTTCTGTCTTTAGGCCTGGGGTTGGGACCCTAAAATTTACCGTATAGCCATGCACCTTCTGTAAGACTCCCCTTAAAAATTATTTTTGACAGGAAGTGCATGCGCTTTGTGCAAAATTTGAAAGCAGAAAAGCATCAGTAACAACCTCCCTTCTTCTCTCCTAGCTTACCCCGTCCAGAGGGCCCCTCGCCACAGGTTCTTGTGATATCATTGACTGAGGTGTCCTAGGCAAAGGATGTTGTAGGCACAAACATCCTTGCCTACAAAATAATATAAATAGTATATACAAAATAATATATATAGTATGTGTATATTTTATATATATATGTATATATATATATTTTTTTTTTCCCCCCACATAAGGCAACACCGTACCCAGAACCATGTATGGCCCCTTACTTTTTCACTTAAATCCTTGGAAAGTTTGGAGACCTGCCAGGGGCTGCCTCATTCTCCATGGCTACATGGATGTCACTCCAGGCTATGCCAGAATTTATTTGAACAGGCCCCGCTACGGAATTCTGAGGTTGTTCTAATCTTTTGTGGGAGCAGGCAGGTGATACTGTGGGGTTTTTTTTTTTTTTTTTGTGTGTGTGTGTGTGTGTGTGTGCGCGCCTGTCTGCAGGGCGATTTCTAGAAGTGGAGTTGTTGGCTAATGAGGATGTGAGTTCAGCTCACACAGCCACACGCGGCTGGATGAGTTCTTGAAAAGTGAGAGCTGGGCACCGTACGTCAACTCCAGTGCCAACCTATGGAACAGAGGAAAACGGAGGGTCCCTCCTGCTCCCTTCAGTCTTTTCCCTCCCGTTCCCTGCAGGGACAGTCAGTCACACGGGAACCTCTGGCGTGGCAGAATAGGGTTGCCTGGTTTTGCGTGGGTATTTACATTTTTCTTTTCTATTTTGCAAGGCTGGGGATGGAACCCAGGACCTTGAGCATTCTAGGCAAGCGCYCTACCACTGAGTCACACCCCAGCCCTTGATTTTTTTTTTTTTTAATTAAAGATTGAACCTAGGGATGCTTAACCACAGAGCCACATCCCCAGCCTTTTTAATATTTTATTTAGAAACAGAGTGTCTTGCTGAGTTGCTTAGGGCCTCTCTAAGTTGCTGAGGCTGGCTTTGAACTYGCAATCCTCCTGCCTCAGCCTCYCAAGCCACTGGGATGACAGACGTGTGCCACTGCGCCCAGCCCAGCCCTTGATTTTGATGTTGTTAAATTTCCCTAAAGAGAGGTGATACCAATTGTAATATTTACTTCATMTATTTCTTGAAACTGACTTCAAATTTAAAAGGGGGTGCTGTATCTTTTCTACTAAYGGAAAACCTGTCCCCCTCAACATAGATAGCAGATCATGGTTAAAATACAGGGATAATGCCACAACTTTATGAAATACTAGCTACGTGTTGTGGGTGCTGGGTCCCCCTCTCTTTWCAACAGGCAGGTTGGCAGGTACTTTAGCAGCTTGAACTTTAGACTGAGGCTCATGTGATTGGAGGGGTCAGAAGGGAATTGACTCCAAAGAGAAGTTCAGGCCTTTGAGTCAATATGAATGAGACCCAGAGCCACCTACAGTGATCTCTGGTTTTGCACGGGGCTGGGGGGGGCTCTTGTTTGCAGAGGGGGCTGAGAGACCCAGTGTGTTTCGGGTCTCTAGGGCAGCTGGCCTGAGCCCCCCAGGTGTCTTTTCCTCTGCAGGCCAGTTCTCCCAGCTCTTTCCAGAATGTGGCTGAAATGGTTCCATCAGAAATGGGCTCTCCCAGAGAYGCTCGGAGCAGGCTCTTCCCGCTGTCCAGGGTGAATCACTCTGACACACGCACCCTCAGACCACTGGGGACACGCCTCTAATTTTAGCACTGCCCGGGGTATTCGAGGGATCTGCTTACATGGCTGCTTTTCCTTGCTGGACTGTGGGCTCCTGGAGGTCAGGGGTGTGGCTCCTTTGAGTCTTCCTCTGAATGCTGGGCTTGGGCTGGGCACACAGTAGGTGCTCAGGGAATGCTTGTTGCACGAGGGCCGTTGAGTCCCAGCTGTGCTACAGGGCAGGCGTGGGGCCTGGGGCAGAGGCTGGCTTGCCCGGCAGCCCTGGTAGTCGGGTGAGCAGAGTGGGCTGGGCAGACCGTGCAGCCACTGGCTCTCTAGGATGCGCCAAGCCCCGTGGCCGTGACAGTGGGGCAGGGTTTCCAGCTGGGTAAGGGAGTCAGGGCTGGAGTGTTGCCTGATGAGGGAGAAAAGAGCCCAGGGGGGCCGGGGAGTGGGGAGGAAGTGCGCTGGACAGGTGGCAGCGGAAATGAGTGCCAGAGGCAACCTGAGCTCTCTCTGGCCTCCTTCCGGGGATGGAGGGGTTCRGCGGAGCTTGGCCCATGAGTTCTGTACTTCCCTGTGGTGCCGGGGTTAGAGGGTGGCCTCTGTCCCAGGCTGCCCGGGTCCCACATCCTAACTGGCAAGCACAGGTCAAATGGATGAGGCCCTCACTCCCTGGGCCTCCTTTACCTGTGGATGTTAGAACCT